GGGACAAGAAGGGAGAGGCAGATCTTATGAACCTGCTGTTACACTGAATCCAGGAACTGTTGGAAAAATAACTACAATGCTGCAAAATATAGCTCTGTGTAGAATGGACATTGTGCTGTACTGAATTTGAGATGCTGCTTTTAGCATCAAATCCTTATTAGTGAAGCAGTAAAACTGTTCCTGTTGAATTCATAAGATACAGGTTTTTAATGGAAGATACAGAGCTCTCAGTGAAACTTCATGTAGATAAAGGGGCTCTTTCCTAAACAGAAATTATAATTGATCTTAAGATATTTTGCTCAACATAACATTGACTCAGTTAAATGACTTCTGAGTGACTTGCACATAAATACGTGTGTGCATGAAAATGTGTGCAAGGGATTTCTCCCTCAGCCTACCTAGAAAGAAGAATAATATTGTTGGGTTTATATTTCAACAATTGGTCAATGTTCAGAGGAAGCACAAGGTAATGTGGTGATGGTTTTATGTTTGTTTGTTTTAAATGATTGAGTTAAGCCTACTTAAAAAATTAATCTTGTATATGCAGATAGAGCTTATGTTCACATAGTGGTTTTAAGGGAACAATCCCATTTGATCAGGAAACGTTGCCTTCAGAGATCATGAGCTTTCAGTTTAAGCAAAGGACTAGAATGTTTTCCATTCATTTAAAGATTGAAGAGGAAGAGCTTCACAAGCCACTGCCACTGAAGTACTCTCAAAATGCACTCTTTCTTGGCTTTTAGTTTTCATTTATTGCAGGAGGCAGTTTCTTTTGTAGTCTTGCTGATGCCTCAGTTCTAGATGTTGAAGTGTGTGCTTATATTAAGTGTCAAGTACTGAGCAATCTGGTATTGTTCCCTTGTCCTGATGTATTGTTTTAAAATAGGGACAATTACTTCAGTTTGTCTGAATGTTCCTGGAAACATGGCAGTTTTACAGGACTGGATATCCCATGTAGCAGTGACTGGCTCATAAATTACAACTTGTCAAGTGCGTTCACATTTTTGCAGTGGAGAGATGGGTCCCATTAGTGATTCTATCTCACAACCTAGCTGTTCTCTCCTTTTTCCAGAGCTATTTGGTAACTTAAACAAAATGAGAAGGCAGAGGCAACAGCATGTATTTACTGCAAAATAAAACTGTCATGGTTAGTGCAAATTTAGGACTAGTTTAAGAAGTGACAGAACTTGTATCTAGCTGTATGGTTTGAGTTATTCAGGATCACTCCTGACTTCTGCAGGTGTGAATGTGTTGTACAACAGCTCAACGTGTGACACTGAGTTACTGTTGTACGCAGTACCCTGAGAGACACCTGGCTTCTAATACAGGTAAGTAAATAACTCTCACAGAATCACTTAATATAAGCATTCTTTCTGAAAGCAGAGCAATCAGTTAAATTTTCTCATCCTGTACTAGCGCACATGCTTACAGCATAATTTCTGAAGTTCTGTTAATAACAGTACACTGTGTTGAGGCCGTATCCAAGTTGTATAAATTTAGGGAAAATGTATTCTTATATTATGCCTTTCTAATGGGAATCCTTCTTGGTTAGAAGGACGTCTTTGATTTATTTTTTTCCCACAAAAACTAATTTTCTATCAAAGGACCAAGTTATTAACATCAAAACTTTTTTTCTTTTTTAAACCCTATCATTTAAAATATACATTTTAATTAGACACTGATCCATTTTTAGAAGCAGTCATTTACTGAACCAAATTAGATGTACTTAACTCCAGTATTAGCAGGAATATATAGAGATACTAAAAACTCAGTTTGCAATACTTTCATGTCTTGTTTGTCCCAATATATGCCTGTGCCATCAGTGCTTAATGTAGGTGTACCAGCTCCTAGGCAGGTTCAGAGTTGTAATCCAGTTCATCTTCCAGAAGCAATTTGAAGAGAATGGCCAGTGCTTTGGAATTTTGTTTCTAAATCCATTGCATCCAATCCATTATACAGCAATAAGCTTTTTGATACATAGTGTGGTCTGAAATGTAACCACAGTTTGCTTATTCAAAAATATCTAATTAAGTTGGCTATTGTAATTTGTTCTGAGTTTTGCTAGACAAGAAATACTGCTAAATTGGGTTAAATTTGAGGAAAGAATGTATCATTTGGAGACTGGCATTTTAAAGATGGTGTATAGCTCAGCTTTGTATGCAGCTCGTATCTGGCATTGGTTAGGTAGCCATATGTGAAATAGAATTGTGTTTGTAGGAAAAAATCTTCTTAATCACAAAGATAAATCAAACCAGATGGTCCAGATTTTTTGCCTTGGGAAGAAGGATTTGTTGGGATTTTGTCTTTCTTTATGTGAAACACTAAGGTTTCACTTTAGCCTTCTACACTTTAGTGATCAATTCTGAAAGATACTGGTGATAATAAATTCTGAATCAGAATGACTTCCAGTCACACTTTCTGATAACTGCTAATCTTTGTGCTTCCTTTCCGGAGAAGATAAGGCAGTGGTATTATTAGCTAATGTTTCATCAGATTTATATATGAAGTGACAGGGAATTCTGTAAGGGTTTAGTAGATGTACACATCTGGTATGAAAGTGTAAACATTAGCTTACGTTTAACAGAGTGTGCTATACTGTTTCTCAAATAGCATGCATCTCTTCCGGCATAATATTCTGTTGTTGTGTTAAGTTAGGCAGTGTTTTATAAAACAGGTCTAAACATTCAACTATTACTTTACAAGTGAACCACCATAGTTTTATCAAGTACAGGTAGGGTTTTGCATTACTATGGCTAATAATGCTGTTACTATGGCTAATAATCAGAGGTTTTTAAATGATTTACGACCTGGCTTTAAGGAAGATTTAGTTCAGAATGTAAAGGTCACAATCACATTGTACAGAAACTGTGCCCAATGTTTTTCTCAGCAAAGAGACTAACGGAGTTGAAGGGAAACTCTTTTATCATTTATGACTTGGGTGGGCAGTAGGCAAGAAAATTGAAATTGCTGTCAGCTGGGAATTCCAGCTTTGCAACACTGAGGGGTTTTGTAACATATTCATCGGAAATACAAGTACATTTTGCTTTCTTCTTGGGTAGAGTAATAAGAAAGCTGTTAGTGCCTTAAGTGACACCAGTCTTGCGTGAAATGTTTTATGGTACATCAGTGAACTGGCTTTTGCTATTGGAAATGACTGTGGAAAAGGGTGCCTGAGCCAGTGATACACCATCACGTGCTTAAAAACATGCTTGCAGCCTAGGGGAATGTACTCTGCTTAAAATCATTCTTCATACAGATACCAGGATGTAGAAGTTATTCCCATCTCTTTCTCTTCTGCATCCAAGAATAAAAAAAACCCAGTTGTGCATTCCTGCACTGGGAAGCTAGACAGTGTTGATACATGTAGCAGAATTTGTCCACATAGGAAATACAATAATGAAGTTTAAATATGACTTATTAACCTCAACAGCCCCAGATGCTGCAGCTGTTAATCAAACCAGCATGTAGACATTTCGAAATTACTTTTGTAGGTACTTTGATCTGGAATTTGATCTAAAACATGGGGGAAGAGCTGTACAATACAGACATTACAAACTCTCAAAAAAAGGAGAGGTTTTAAATCTAATTCTTTGGCTACAGGCCATGTTTCCGTTCTCCTGGCTGAATGAGTGCACTGGTGTGGAAGGATACCTTCTATGGATGAGAAAATGTAAATCTGCATATAGCAGACTTAACAAGGGCTATACAGCTACATCAACACTGCTACATCATGAGCCCAAAATACAAACCCCAGGGCAAGTGAAATACACTGTTTCAAGTGAAGTTTCAGTTCAGCTTCCATTCAAAGTTTATCTTGTAAAATCTCTGTTCCTTCCTGTCACTTGAACAGTGTCATTTCCATATTGAGATTTTTTTCTAAGGGTTTTTACTGGTTAATACGATTTTTTCCCTGTTTTGCCTCCTCTCTGAGGCAGTGCAAAGCTAGGATGGTTTCATTTCTTAGCATTGCCTCAGGCATATTTTGCCATCCTCTTGCATAGACATTCCCTTTTTTCCTTATTGTTTTTAAGTCATCTTTTCTGTGTCCCATAAGCACACTGTCATCGTAACCTCATAATTTGACTCATTCTTAAAATATTATTCTGCAAAACTTAAATCACATTTCATTAAATACTCTCTATCAAGGAATCCATGGTGAAACGTTCATCTTTCTCTTTTAGGTCCTGATACAGAAAAGGACTTAATGCTTTTTTTAGTAGTAAGTCAGAGAAACTACATTTGTGTTTCCTTATATAGAGGTTCTAGTTCAACACACAGTAGCTCTGTACTTGATTTTACCATTGTCCTTCTTGTACCCACTTCCAGTTTCCACTTTCAGGTGGGTAGTTTCACACAATATGCTCAGTTTTCTGTGGTCAGTGTTGCTATTCTTGCTTTTCAGTAGTCTGTATATCTGTGGCACTATAAAAATAATGTTCTGTAAAGAGTATTGAAAAATATGTTTCTTGCAGAATGAAGGAATTAGTATTTATAGTAATCACGCATTTTTAGCAACTGACTGTACTTTGTACATCAAGTTCAGATTCAAATGGTAGAAATCATGCTGGAGCTTTGCTTATTGCTAGTAAGAAGTGTAGTTAGCATCACTGTTGACTGGCTTGTATATGGTTTCCCAATTTATGAAACATGGTTCTTCCTTTCAGTTCTGATCTCCAGTGTTTTGCCCTTTAGTACCAATACCACTACATGTGATCTCTTACTGGTTGAAAGCTAATGGCTTGTCTTGCATTTGTGATGTTGATCTTGCCCATTTTCTGTAATAATATAGTTTTGCTGCTGTTTCCAGAGGTGTAAGACTGAAAGGGGCTCTTTCCATATTACCGAAAGGGAATGCAGCACACAAAGTTAGTATGTACTAACATGAAGATTTCAGAGTTGGTTTATGAGCTAGTTTGCATTTTTGCTTGGGAAAGCTGAGCACTACCAAATCGTGTTTATTTGCCTGGCTTCACCATAATCTCTTCCCACTTTATTTGCAGGTTAGTCACCTGCTCCAAAGAGAATCAGAACAATGTCCTACGTGTTTGTAAACGACTCTTCCCAGACAAATGTGCCACTGCTGCAAGCTTGCATCGATGGAGATTTTAACTATTCCAAACGACTGCTAGAGAGCGGTTTCGACCCCAATATTCGTGACAGCCGAGGCCGAACTGGCCTTCACCTTGCCGCAGCCAGAGGAAATGTAGACATCTGTCAACTCTTGCATAAATTTGGTGCTGACTTACTAGCCACCGACTACCAGGGTAACACAGCCCTTCACCTGTGTGGGCATGTGGATACCATCCAGTTCCTAGTTTCTAATGGACTTAAAATTGATATTTGGTAAGTCACTTTATTTTTTTTTACTTTAAACTTATTTCAAAGTTTAGTGTTTTATACGTACATATTTTGTAACACATTAGTCTTCTCTTGCCAGAGCCTTGCGTATTAATTTCTTGCTGAAATGTTGTATGTGGTGCAATTCCACTTTAAGGTATCATTTAAAAATCCCACAAAATTAAGAAGGCAGGAAAACAATAAGGGTTGGAATTAGATGATCTTTAAGGTCCCTTCCAACCCAAACCATTCTACAATAAGAGGCCACTTCTGCTAATCTGTGCAACAGGCAAAGCAAATAAACAGAGCAGCTGCTGGTGGGGGCTGTTGGATCTCATCCTGCCTCACCGCTGACATTGCTACCCTGGTTTAGCCAGACAGCCAGGTGTGGGTGGTTGGCACCAAAGGAAAACTTGCATTGACTGCTTTAAAAGAATTTTCTCCACTCCAGTTCTATTGTTTTAATTGTTGCACTGTATGAGACAAAGGAAATACAGTGTATGTGTGTGTCAGTTCATTCCCATACTCCTTTGGTAACAATGCTTCCTTTCAGTGCTTTCCCCCTCCCTCAAAGTCTGTGACTCAGTTCTTCTTTTAAATATTGTATAGTCTTTCCTTCTGGCTTCCAGCAGCTGTCAGATGCCAGGGCTCAGATGTAAGCTCTCAAGCTGCAAAATAACTAGCTGTTTCATTGCAGTAATGGAATTGTTTTGTTTGTGACGCTTTGTGCATACTTACAACATGTGCAAAACCAGTAGTAACTTCAAAACCTCTCAGTTTTTTAATCTGTTGCTTTTTCACCTGTACCTCATTAATGTTTTCAACTCTGCAAAAGACCAGATTCTTTAAGGGCTGTGGCTTTGGCTTTCTTTGTCCTCATTTCAAACAACTGGTGAAAATGCTTAGTCTGAAGGCAGCTCTACTCCTATTTGGTACGATTTTAATAACAGCAGAGGGACCATCTGTATTTTATTTCATTTTTGCCTGATGTCCTAATAGTCCAATGGAAAAGCAACTCTGAGGAACCAGATTGCACAATTCCTTCTTGAAATTAAGCTTAAATTTGAACACCGCCTAAATCTACTGCTTATTTTTTTGTTCTAACACCCAGAGATTCCAATTAGATTACAGTACTAGGAATTTCAGTATTATTTAGAAGACTTGTGCAGTTTCAAACCGAAACATACGAATTTTCTTGTGTAGTCAATGATGTTATAACTTGTACAGATGGTAATTTCTTACTGTCTGGTATGACAGAAAATAGTTCTGGGGACTTAATAAATTGTAATGTTTTATACTGAGTTGTCTTGTTACAAAATTTCTATATTAAAGGTTTCTTTTCTTCTCATTTTGTTTTGTGGGGTCATTTTAGCAATCACCAAGGTGCAACACCCCTTGTTCTTGCAAAACGAAGGGGAGTGAATAAAGATGTGATTAGACTGCTGGAATCTTTAGAGGAGCAAGAGGTGAAAGGATTTAACAGAGGAGCTCACTCAAAGCTGGAAACAATGCAAACTGCGGAAAGCGAAAGGTATTTACAAAACAAAGATAATTACTAGGAGAAATAATATTAATGGCTTTTCCATTTCTGCGATTGACTTGATAGTTAAAGGAGAACTGAAGATTTCAGGGAATGTGTTGGGTTAGAGGGAAGTTACAGATGAATTCATAAAGGTCTGATTCTGGGAATGTGCTTGTTTAAAATTTGCATATTAGTGGGACTAAGAAGTGAAATACAGGCAAGCCAGAGGAAACCGGGATGGCACAGACAAAAACCTGGGATGACAAGGGAGAGGAAATTAGTAGGGATAAATTGTGGTTCAGAAGCACAAACTGGAACTTCATTTACCTAAAGCTGCATGCTGTAAAATGGAATTTTGTCAGTGGAAAGTGGTATAAGAGGATAGGCTTGATGTAGTTCATGTGGAAGTAGTGAAGTCAGTTCCAGGAGTTGATGCTACCCTGAAAACGCACTGAAGTCCTACAAAGCATAAAATGACATATGTCCACTGCGTAAAGCTGCCAGTGCTGTCATAAAAAGCAGTGTAACCTATGCTGTGTAGTACAGTCTGTAATGCTCTTTAGCCCCAGTCGAAATAGGTTTTATCCCTTAAGAAGCGTGGAGAAGCGTTACTTCAGTGCTCAAGGCAACAGCGCGTCTCCTTGCGAAAGAAGGCAACTAGAGGTCTGTGTAGCCTGGCAGAGGAAAGGCTGAGGTGTGTGGCTGCCAACAAGATATACTGGTTTTGGACAACATAAAGTGACTATTTAAGACAAAAGATGATGATAGCACAGGAGAAGAAAGACACAGATAAACCACAAATACTTTTCTGATGGAAAATTGGGAGTGTTTTTTTACAGTGAGCTTCCAAGACAGCCTTCTTGTAGGATTTAGATGAGGCAAGAAGCCTTACACATTTTCAAGGAGGCTGATTTCTCTTGCAGAGATCACTGAATTGCCAGTAAACATGACAGAACATGGGTCTCAGATTAATAATGCAAGAGATCTTTCCAGGACTGTTTTGTTGTGTTGTGTTGTGAGGGTTTGTTTTGTTGTGGGTATTTTGTTTGCTTGTTTGTGGGTTTTTTTTTAATGATAGTGGAAACAGAATATCAGTGTTGCTTGGAATACTTGCTTTTATACTGTATTTATTTTCTTGTCTAATAATGAGCATGAACTGTGACTGCTGGAACACTGTGTCACAAAAGACAGGGAGTTTTGTCACCTAATTGTTGTTCAGTTTGTGTCAAAATGTACACAGCTGGCACTGTGAATGAAAATTAAACCCTGTAGATGGAGTTGTTATCTAAGATACTCCCAGTGAGCAGATTGGAAGTTCATTCTTATCCATTAGTGACCTCAGTCGTCAGAGAGACTGTTTTAAGCCCTGAAATAGAAAATTTAATATTATTCTCAAAACGACATGGGTATAAAAAGAATTCATGCATGTTATTTTAACTACATTTCTCTGAAGGTTGCTTGTCACACAGAAATGCATTTATGCTGGTTTCGTTTAAACACATGGACCAACAGCTCAGCCTCATTGAAATTCCAGGTTTTGATTCGATAGTGTCCCTTTAATGAACATAGCTTCCTTTCTGTTATTTGACCTTCATAAATGTTATATTGTTTGCTTTGGCAAGGAAGTCAGCAACTCTCCTTGGGGAGAGGCACAGAGACATAAACAGCGCACTACCCAGCCTGCTTGTGAACGTGTTTAAAATGCCTGAAATACGTTATTTTTAAAATAACAAATAACAGATGCCTACAGCAGCAAGAGAAGTGAGCTTGTCTGCTGTTTGCTTTGTAAATAAATAATGTCTTCATAACGGTTGGCTTTTGAGACCTCTGCAGTTTCGTTCCTCCCTCTTAGTATTATTTTCACATTTTAGAGACACTTAGATGAATGTCTTCTGTCCTCTCCCACCGCACCAACTCTCTTACATTATGTATGAACCTATGGAGAAATAATGGTTGCTCTTTCTGAAAACAGTCTCTGACTTAAGTTTTCTGCTTCCTGTTACATGCAGTGCTGCTGCTCTGAAAGCAGAGACCAGAGCTAGGTTCTGAGTCAGATTCATTTTCACTTGCTTGGCACCCCTCCCGGTGAGGAGTGGCACTGTGCTCTTTGGAGGCAGAGATCGCTCTGTCCATCTTCCAGTGCAGACAATCTGTCCATGTACACAGCACAGCGTGACCTGTGACTGCTCCCACTGGTGCATCCAAATGTCAGTTCCACGTTGTGTTGGAAACAGAAGAGAACATCTGTCTGGGCTGTGGGGCACAAACCTCTTATGTAGGATGCATTGCTGCATTACCTTTACCATCTTAAGCAGATGTAATTCATAATAAGAGCAAATGGAGAAGCTTCCAGGGAGACCTTAGAGCATCCTTCCAGTACCTAAAGGGGACCTACAACAAATCTGGAGAGGGCCTTTTTACAATGGCATATAGGGATAGGACAAGGGGGAATGCCTTTAAACTGAAATAGGGAAGATTTAGATCAGATATTAGGAAAAAATTCTTCACTATGAGGGTGGTGAGGCACTGGCACAGGATGCCCGGAGAAGCTCTGGCTGCCCCATCCCTTGCAGTGTTGGATGGGGCTTAGAGCAACCTGTTCTGGTGGAAGATGTCCCTGCCTGTGGCAGGACAGGGGAATGAGATTGATTTTAATTGGGTTGTAATATAAAATAGCAGAAGTGTTTTTTATGTACCCTTTTCTATTTAATGAGCAAGCGTGATCTTTTCACTTAAATTGCATTGCACCTTTATTTAACCTCTGTGTGGTTATGTATTAACTAGTTAGTACTTAATGAATGTAGTAATGAATTCTGTTCAACCAATGTCTGTCTTATTAAAGCCTTTGTTTTGCTTGGGAAACCATAATAAGCAAGGAAGATGACTAAATCTTGTAGCTATGGGCAAGCAAACAGAGCTTTACAGTATGTAAATATCTAAAAAACAAAATAGCCAATCTGTTTAATAGGCAGTTTCTGAAATCTGCTCATGATGCTGCAATGCTTCAGCAAGCTATGGCAGTTCAGGCTAATTATTCTTCAGTGGCTGTACTTCCTAAGAAAAAATACCTTATGAATAGTGGGAAGTTTTTCAGTGGTGTAATCTTAGGAGAAAGATTTATAAGTGAGACCTTTTTCTGATAACAAGCATTTGTCAATTTATTATTGTCACCAAGAACAATGGCATTTCTCCAGTTAGTTTTGACATGGAAATTACTTTTCCCTAAAATGTTTTCTTTTATTGTTGCTATAAGAGATATATAGGAATGTGGTAACTGAAAGCAATTAGAAGGGGGGGGAGGAAACTGGGTTTTCTCTGCTTACCTTTTGCTATTGACATCATCATGTACGTAGTTGGTTTCACCATTTCTTTTCTGTGCTTGTCAAAGCCTGATCCTGTAAACACCTGTGTATGTAATTTCACTTAAGTGAGAAGTAACAGGACTGTGCAGATGGCTAAAGTTTTACGTAAGTAAAATCAAGTGATGAGAAAGTTTCCCTGCTCTTTGTGAGGTTTTTTTTCATACAGCAACAGTTTTCTGTTACAGACTGGTTGTGAAACCAGCAAAATAAGGAGAATGATACAAGAAGCCATGCAGTATTTGAAACAACTTATGTTTTCCTGAAGGAGATTCATTGTCAAGATGACAGCTTCATTCTGATTTTATATTTGTTTCTCATTTAAAAGTGAGAGTTCCAGTCCTTAATTTATAGTCTTACAATTTAAGAGGGCCTGATGGATTGGTAGTGAAATGTTAAACATCAGAGCAGTTGCTGAACACCATATGGTAGAAAACACAGCAATGCCAATTTGTCTTGAAGATCAGAAAGTTTCTGAACTTCTTGTTACCCAAATTTATTGTTTTCTGTGATGTTTTTATGCTAGAGAAGAGGCCTCTGGAACAAAGAGATTCAGGAGAGTAGTAAAGATCACTACAGATTTCAGAACGTAAATTATATTGGTCAAAGTTTCCATTTTATTAGTCAGAGGTTATTTTTACATCATAATTTGTTAACAAGAGCTGTGCCCCTTGAGGTTTTAGCTTATGCTCCATTAAAGTTTACTAAGCTGTATTTAGTAGCAATTATGAGAACTGACTTTTGAAGGCTTCTAGGTGGCAAGCCTACAAACAAATAGCATTCTTTTTACACAGGTTAATAAAACATCCTTTCAACTAAATAAGTTTAGAGTTAGGAGTCTTTTCCTGATCTGCTTTGTCTTGACTTAGCAGAGGCAATGCTATAAATCTGTAGGTGTAGGTGTAGTTTTTAATTTAGAATGTTTCAGTTGCTCTTAGTAGGATTACTGTCATACTTAAAGGTGCATTCTTTTGCTCTGATGTATTTTTAACTCTAATCCTTTGTAGTGCGATGGAAAGCCATTCCCTCCTTAATCCAAATCTACAGCAAGGTGAAGGAGTTCTTTCCAGTTTCCGGACAACATGGCAAGAGTTTGTGGAAGACCTGGGCTTCTGGAGGGTCCTGCTCCTCGTCATTGTCATTGCTCTTCTGTCGCTTGGCATAGCGTACTATGTTAGTGGGGTGCTTCCTTTTGTAGAAAACCAGCCTGAACTGGTGCACTGAAGCAAATGTGCAGAAGTGCACCATGGTTTTCCCTGTTCTAATGTTATTTTGAGCTGCTTGGAATTATTCCCTTGGTGCAGGCAGTGGCAGCTGTAGATACTGTTTGCCTTTTGTACTTATTATTAACCCCTTTGAAAGAGGGATTCATTCATTTAAACACTAAATTCTAAAGCATTCCTAAGCTACCTCTGACTTACCTTGACTTGCAGATAAGATGCGAAGATAATCCTCTCTGTTGATAAAATTATGATTAGAAAAGGCCTTTCCTAATAAATACTAAATTCCTGGGTGTGAGAAGTATATCCTAGTACAGAACCAAATTTGATTTATTTTCCCTATGAAGAGTTAAATCTATTGTTGGATTTTCTTGTGTGCTCCGGTTGAAACAAAAATATTATTTTGGAAGTTCTCCTCAAGAAATCTGGATAATATAATAATGCGTACTGATATATAGACAGTAATAAGCTGCAACTTTGTAGTTCTTTTAATGCCTCTCCATAGTTTCATATCTGCTAGCTTATGAAAAGAATGAGTTTTTGTGTGTCTTTAATGAGTAGATCACTCCTTTATTTATTAGGTTAATGTAATGTTTCTTCTCTACATGGATTTAATGTTGTTAATACCTGCCTGAAGTAAATCTTGTAGAAGAAAGCTGTTCGTTGTGCTTTGCAAGTAAAGTTGTTTCAGCCTTAGGCTGAAGATTTTGCCTTTTTGTTGCAATGTTACTAAGCAAGCCTTTCATTGTGAGGGTGATTTAAAAGTGATTTAGGTGTTCTGCTCTGTATATAATAATTCTGTAAGGTCACTGTGAAACATGTCATGAAAGATAGCTTCTTATTCCTCCTACAGGGACAAGAGTGAACCATGCAATTAGTATTGGTTTTGTGTTTGTGGAGAGGACTCGACTGCATAGGATTCCTTTCTAGAATTGTTTTCCATTTCAATTGTTTTCAGACAACACTTACAGGCTTATGGATTATTTTCTGAATATGCAGAATAAAAGGATTTTAAATGTTACTATTTAGGAACATTGTATGAAATTAAATGAAATCTTGATCCATTCTGTACTTAGCTGTGACATCCTTTGTTTGTAAATAGCCTAGGGGTATGAATCAGTTACTCTTTTATGAAAGCTAGAAAGGTACTAGGCAGTAAGTTGGAGGCTTTCAAAGACAGCAGATTCTCTCCTCCCATGCTGATCCAACAGCTGACTCTCTTGCTTGCTATTGCCTTGAAAAACCCACCCAAAATAAATTCTACAAACCTAATGAATCTTTGGTTTTTGACTTAGCTACTCCTGAATCGTTGCTAAATAACATATAACAGTTAAGAAATTTTAAATGACTAAGTATTGGCAGAAGTAACCGACATCTCTCTATTCTGCTACCATGTGTATTTTTCTGTCTTGTTTATGGGTTTGAGTAAAGAGGGTTATTGTCTTTGTTTTGATGTGTGACACAGGCTTCACTGAGCTGGGCTCCATTCTAAATTGCGTCTGAATAATCCTCGATCTCATTTGTTAAGTCAGAGGTTAACGAAACGATACTTTTCGAGCAGCTGCAGTGCTGCAGGAAGGAAAGCCTCTGAGGAAGAAAACAACAAACCAAGCAAAAAAAGGCCCCAGCGCATGCTCCTCTTCTGATTATTCCAATTGTTATATGTCTGGTCATGAACTGAGAATTATAAACTCATAGATACCTAAATCACATTCAGTTCTCTCAGTAAGTACATTTCTGTTAATAATACTCTGTATCTTGGAGAGTCATGGCATCTCTCAGTGTGTACTATCTCCATAATTTGTAACTGTATTCTTGTACGGGTGAATGCCACAAATAAATATATGTAGTAAATATGGTTTTGTCTGTTATTACATTAGTGCATGGTAATGATGCTACCCCATCTTACTGAGGTTGTTTGTTTGTTGTGCATTGATAATGAGCTTTTCAGAAGTGTGGAGGTTCCCACCCAGACAAATGACAGCCACACTGTCAGTATACATGAGGTTTTAGAGCATGGTTTCTTTAGATTTGCCTGGTTTATTTTCACTGGTGTTACTGAATTGAAGTTGCTGTCTGGCCTGTCTCTCTCTTACATAAGATTTCAGGTATTGAACATGTGGTATAGAGTCCCTCGAGATTTAAGATTATCTATAAAGGAGTACAAAATATAACCAAGAGAACAAAGCTTGAGCCTCAAGTAGCCTTTCCTACTTTTCTGTACTTTGTTTATGCTGTATGCAACAGCTGCTTATGCAGCTTCAGAAAAGGTTTGAAAAAATTGTGTGTATGTTCCAAATTAATATATTTTCACTTTTTAAACCCAAAGAGATCCAAAGCAGTGTTTGAACTTCACTGTGTAATGACTGCTGCTCTTTGAAATAAGGATGTGATAAACATCTGACTACAAGAGGAGTTTGATCTGGATATATCTCTGTTACTGAAGAAGGGCAGCTCTGCCTTTCAATATACCTGTAAACATTAACATTTTCCTTTTCAAAGGTTGATTCTAAAGAATTAATTTGCCTCCTTTACACTAGATTCCAAGGAATACAATCCGTCTTTCTTACAGGAACAGATTTTAGCCTGCTTCCTCTTGAAACTGTTGTCATAGAGAGTTTCACTGTTACAGCATAATGACATAGATTGTTCAGATTATCTATAGGTCAGTAAGGTGTTTTTTTTTTTATATAGTTATTGTTGCAGCTGCATACCTTGATCCAGGGACTCCATTTTGCTAAAGCAGTCTTCAAATCCAAGACAGATTGTTGTTTCAAGCTGTTCTCAAGCTAATGAGCTAAAACAGAGTAAGTAATTGAGAGGGGAAATGATCATGGAGGGATGAAATGATTTTTTCCAGTGTTATAAAACTTGGTGGACAAGATCATGCAAGGTAAACTGGAGTGTAAAACAGATGCATTCAGGCTATAGAGCAGTGGGCTGTCCCTGCGCTCACATTGATTCCACACCTGTCTTACATTGTAGTAGCTTGTTCATGTACCATATATTTTTATCTTCAAGGGCTTCTGTTTTCACTCATATTGGTAGTTTGCTTTGTGGAAGGGGGTGATCTGTTCTGTGACTGTCATGGGTTGGTTCCGGTTGCAACAATACGAGAGGTATTTCATTACTGGACATATCTGGCACTGTGAGGAGTATTATCATGGAAAGCTGCTATGAGAGGAAGAACGTGGCTGCACTTTAAATTATGGAAATAGAAGATTTAGTCAGTTTTTGGGGTCTGCAGCTGGTCTGAAGGTTGATTTTAGCATGAGCCATCTCTCTGTTTTTAATAAGTAAGTCAAAATTATCACCTTGCCCATCTATTGTAGATGGGCTAGTTAGCTAGGTAGCTGGTTTTCTAATCAAAATGTGTTTGGTCATAATACTTTAGAGAAATGCAAAGTAAGTAATTTATTCAGAAATGCCATAACATCATTTTAAAGTAATACTAAAAGTGCAAATTGCAGTTGAAACTCTCTGCAAACTCAAAAAAACATGGGTAATGTCGTCACATTCAGAATCTGCAAGTCTAGCATATGTTTAAATGTTACCTGGAGTTGAGTTTTAACAGAACTGATTTCTTCCTCAGCTGACACACCAGTTAACTTGTTGCTCTAAGCCAGTTGTTTTTGAAGTTGTGCCTGTTTCTGAAGCCAGCTCTTTGTTTAACTCAGATTTGCATCGGTGACTAAAATAAGTCTTAAATGACGTGAGAATTACATCAGAGTGCTTTTTCTTCACTCGGTGTTCATTTCTTACATTTCACCATTAATCCTTGTGGATTGGTTACTTGGGATACACTTTCCTAAATCATCCGGAATGATGTAGAAACTGTTGCAAATTGTTGCTGCATTTCTCATCCCTGGTGTTGGGGCTTTCTGGAAGAATTCAAACGTCAGTGCACAGTTTCATAACTCACAGCTCTCTGCAAGTGCTGAAACTTGCAGCAAGTTGCTGCAGGTGCAGATGTTGAATCATGAATCTCAAATCTCTGTTAACGTGATGCAATTAATTTCTGGTGTCAGTAGAGATAATTCTGTACCCACGCTCACAGGGCAGTGTGATTCACCTGTTACCTTGAAATTATTCAAGTGCTTCGGCTGAGTTTTGTGTTGCCTGATATCTTGGTACTGCTCTTGCAAATGCTTCAAAGGAGGAACACTTCTAAGACACACGGTATTAGGAGACAAATGCAACTAATTGGTAGGTCTTTGCCGGGAATGCACTGCCAGGGAGCAGAGTGTTCCCACGGTCACTCTGCCACAGAAATCTGAGATGAAAACTGGAAGTCTCCATCTGACAGTGATGTGGTGCAGCCTGTGCTCTCACGCAAAGCAGAACTGACGCTCTGGTGTTGCGGCTGAAGCAGTCTGTGTGCAGAACCCTGAAAAATGTGTGTCTGCTGTAGGCATTTGTAGTTTGTAAATCATTGTAACTAAGCGTTAAGCAACAAGCATTTCCTAATGACTGTGATGAGACAAAACGATTGTTCTTCATTACTGCCGAGGGAATGGGAAATCTACTGGAAATTGCCACAACTAAAAATCAACAAATCAGGATTTCTTCTAAAGTCAACAACAAGTGGAAGAGCAAGTCACAGCTGTGGCTTCAAGTGACACGTTCTTTCTGTCTGTGATTTTAAACTACCTTCTGGATAAGGAAAAATGGGGAGACGTTTGGAACAGAATTTGTTGTGTGGTGGTTTGCAGAAAATAGGAGGGAAGTGAATGCAGTGAGCCAAGACAGCAGCAAGAGAGGCAGAGCAGTGTGGTACCTTCATGAATCGCTGCTTAAAGGCCAGTCCTAATGCCTGTAAGAAGTGTGAGGAGTGACCAGTAACAGCTTGCTAGCAGGAGGAGGATTTCACTGGCTGGTGATGACACCATGGCACAGGGGTGGCCGTGCAGCCCTGCAACCTGAGCTGGCCTTCTTGACTTTCAACGTCTAGAGCGCTGCTATTTCAGACAACGGCATGTTTGAATGCGTGCCTACATTAACAGCTGCTCATGCGGAGCCCGAACTGGTTCCTCTCATGCAAGAATCCTTTTGCACACAGGTTAGCAAAAGGAGTGCCACCAAATGTGAACAGAAGCTCTTTGTAAGACATTAAATATTTCTGGTGTATTAAATTATGTTTATCTAAATACCAGAAGGCAGGAATCCAAATGAAGGATCAAGTATATACAGTAGTATCTGTCTTTGCTAAAAAAAAAACAAAAAAACAAAACAGATAACATTCTCTTAATGTAAAGCAGTAAGAAATCATAGTAAATTTGGTTTGAACTGTAGAATATGAATTTGTTATGGAGCCAAATTCCTTCATATGAGGACTTTTTCAGATAACAGTCTCTGTCAGGTTAGTGTTCTGGAAGAGAGGCTGGCAGAGCCTTGCATTGGTGTGAAGGTATGAATGTGTAAAGGTTGCACTGCCCTAATGAAGTGTGCATATTGAAGCAAACTAGTTAATAATTTCTGCTAGCAAGTAAGAACTGGAATGCCATATGCTCATCCTCATACTGCTGTTGTCTCATTGCAGGCTGAACATCTGGCTTGGTTTCATTTGGTACAGATACTTTCAGGCAAAAAATGAAACATGTAGACATCCATAGGCTTAAGCTGGCAACCACCATTTCTGTAGTGGACATAGAGACTAATGGAGTGCCCCAGAGAAAGTCATGGCAGCTTCTGTGTGGACTGATCTGTCCTGCCAGATGCATTCCTTACAAACCAGTGGGTTTCCCATGTATGGTGCTGGTTTGAGTCCTTGTGTCAGTCCATGAACAGTGAGTGGTTAACCAGGGCTTAAACTGAAGGCTGTTTTCAAACATTTTAATTAGAACAGAAGGCAAAGCTTTAGCCTTTATTTCAGAGTTCAAGGAACTCTTTTTTTTCTCTCTTTATCTAATGTTTACTAGAATTACAGCCTGCAAATGTGCACAGATAATGAGCATGTGTGTGTCCTTACCCTGTGCACTCCTATGGCAAAAGGAGGTTTAGGAAAAGCAAACAAAGCCTCCAGTGAGATCGCTTTGAAATAAGGCTAATTTAAGGAATTCTGGGGCTTTTAATCACCAGGTTGGTGTTTAGTATACCCGCAGCTCCAGTTTTATTTGTTGCACAGACTTAACGTATTTTCTTGGTCTCTGATACAGTTTGGGAAGTGTAGATCACGTTACCTACCCCACAAAGTTGTGCTACACCCACCAATGCGCCATTGTGCTGATGGTAAGTGAATTCTTGTTTCAGAATGTTATTCAGTTCTCTTTGGTTTTCAGAGTTGTGCTGTCTGATTTGCAAAGTGAGCACCTTGATTGCTAGTACAGGACAGTTTGCTTAGTTAAGGCTTGGTTGGTCTGTCCATTTTTCATGTGGAATGCAGCAGTGATCAGGGGAGCTGTTGGCCCTGGTTTAACCTGGGCCTCCAGAAAGCCTCTGCAGATGGAGCAAACGCTTTGAGGATTAAAAGGAATAAAGCTGGAGAGGTGTCTATAGAGGTGTCTATTCCCTGCATTTTCACACTTCAGGACCCTGGGCATTTCATATTGGGCATTTGGAGTCACTGCCGGAAGGACGACAGCTTTGTAGAAGCTTCTGGCCTTTATATGTTCCAAAACTCAAAGGTGAGCAGTTTTGTAAGCTCTTGTCTTCCTCCAGGCAGCAAGCGACCCTCCTGTAAAGCAGTATTTTTAAGCCAAGTAAGCAATCTAACTGCAAGTCAGTTTGTAAATCTTAACTAACATAAGGGTACAAGGGCGCAGACTTTACCTCCTGTGGGCGCTGAGGCACCTGCTGTTTCATTCCCAATGTGCTTCCCTGCCCTGACACTAATGCTGGCACACATGGGACCCAGG